GATAAACACCATCAAAACCATGATGATGATGATGATGATGATAATGATGACGATGATCGTTATCAGGACGACGATCATCTTTCCTGCTTAATGACTGTTTCCTATGTATGCACGCACGTCATGAACTGAGTAATAACGCTAGGTGCATGTATATGAAACATCATCATCATCATCATCGTTCGTGACGTCATCGCCATTATCTAGTTAAATGTCACAAACGTCTCGATCTTCTTCGTCACCATCATGACTTTTTTTCTCATATTTATGTTCACGCATTATTCATTCGTCAATGAACAAATGAATGAATGAACGAACGAACGAACGAACGAACGAACAAATGAATGAAAAATAAAGTATAAATGGATGAATGAATGAACAAATGAAAAATAATGAGTAAATGGATGAATGAACGTACGAATAAATGAATGAAAAAACAAATCAATAAACGAACGAACTACTAAAAGAATTAATAACAAAATGGCCGAATGAAACAATACGGAAAAAATAATTCACAGAAATAAAGGAAGAATGAGTGAACTCCCAAAAGAATAAACAAATAAATAAATGAAAGAATAAAAACTGGATAAATAAAAAGATGGATTGATTGAAAAATTGAATGATTGATTGATACAAAGAGTTTAATTTAAAAGCCCCCTCGCCATTATTAAAATGCAGGCCGGCTTCGCAAAATTTTCTGCGCGTAATGGCTTCCTCATACACAACCATTTAAATGGAAATTTATGAAGCATTTTTCTGGAAAATCTTTAAAAAATAAGAATAATAACAAATTAATTCATTATATATGTTTAATAGATTTATACCTATTATGAAATCCACATATATATGAATCCAAGGGTAGGTACATACGTACTCAAATACAAATTAGATACACATATATACAAAGATGTCTATAAATACTCAAAAATACACAAAAATCTTTAAATAATACTTAACAATTCTTTTGAAAATCTCAAAAATACTTAAAAAATACTTCAAAACTTTTAAGAAATACCCAACATACTCCCAAAATTACGTAAAATACTTTTAAAAATACCTCAAATTACGTCAGAAAATACTCCCGAAATGAGCATACACGTGTCTCGGAAGCTGTTCTGCCAATGTCAGTAGCGACAAAGCAATGCAATAAGTTAGATGAAAATGTGTCAAAATGTAAATTCATTTCTAGGCGGTTGGTATGAATTTTTCATTGAGATGTATGTTTACAGAGCTGCCAAAAACCTAGCGCAAAAAATACTGCACTTTGTATGTGTGTATGCTTGAGGTTTTTTGTATCTGTATGTTTGAGGTTTTTTTGTATCTGCATGTTTGTATTTTTGCGTGTCTGTGTTTGCAGTTTTAGTATGACTGTATTTTTAAGGTACTTTGTTTTTGTTTGTACTTTTTCGTGGGTACATTTGTGGTTTTAAGATAATGTTTTATGTTTGTATTTTGATGTTGTATTTTTGTTTCGTTGACCTATTTTGTATCTATGTTTGTATTTATTGGTTTTTTGCTTGCATTTGTTTGTATGTATGTGCGTGTGTTTGTGTGTGTGTTCGAGGGTATATACAGCAGACAGAGAGTATGATGTGATTGTGTACAATGAAGGGAGAAAATGTGATTGTAGTTTTTCGTGTATTTTCAAGTAAATTTCTTTTATTTTGTGATAAATTTATTTGCATGACTATGTTAGTAGGTTAGTGTGTTTGTGTGTGTGTGTGTTTGTGTGCATTATTATATGTGTTTGAATTCTGGACAGTCAGCATTTGAACAAACAGTTCAGCGCGTGTTAACATCGACAAAAAAAACCAACACTCTTACCATCTAAGCTAAGAAGCCAACCATATCATCATTATTGTTACATCGTAATGACGAAATTATTTGATGTACAACACAATAGCATCATATGGCTTCATTAACACGCATACATAATTAAATGAAAGACTTTCTGATTTACTGGCATAGCAATACAAAAGTGGCAACATGGAAAGAAGATAAAAAAACTGAAAACAAAAAAAAGAGAATGAAAGAGGAAGAGAGAAAGAAAGAGAGAGAGAGAGATAGATAAAGAGAGAGAGAATAGCTTTCAAATCGTACGTTTGTTCTGTTCTTCCCAATCTGTTAATGAATAACAGCGGGCACATAAACACTAGTTGACAATAAATAAACAAAACACAGCAGCAAAGAAATGCCGCTTCTTCATGAAATCAATTTTTAATCGCTTCTCCAAAAAACTGCAAAACACATTTATCGGGAAGAAAAACTTAAACAACAACAGTACGCCAAGAGAAAAATTATTTAATTCTTTCAAAGACAAAACCAGCGACAACTTATAGAACGTTAATAAACATAAACAACAATACAATCAAAAAAAAGCAGCAACAAAAACCTCAAACTTCAACAAATAACAACCACAGCAACAACATCAACTACAGCCACAACAACAACAACATCAACTATAACAACAACAACAACATCAACTACAGCCACAACAACAACAACAAAAACAACATCAACAACAACAATATCAGCAACCAACAAAATTCCAACAGGTATCATCTTTTAAATGAAGACCCGTGTTTATTGATTCGGTTTCATTTTTCATATGATCATGCAAAGAATGCAAATACACACATACACAGACACACGCGCACACACACACACATACACACCACACAAACACACATGCATACGCGCACAAACTTAGGTGAATAAATTAATAACTGGAAGAAAACTTGAAAAAATAATACAGCACAAGATAGAAACACGATGCAAATACAATCCATAAAAAACAAACGTTATACAAAACTCAAACATATACAAAACAACAGAACATACCATATAATACACAAAATAAATACAAAGCAAACCATGCACAAAGCCAAAGAACAAAAAATTTGAGTTGATCAAATTTTGTCCAAAAGAATGGCTAGTGTTGTGGTTTAAAAAATAACGAAGGCGTAAAAGTAATAAAAACTAAGAAATTATCCAAAGCTTCTACGTGTTGTGTTGATAGTTTTTTTCTCATATCTCACACCGAAAAGTCATAAAACACGATAATAAACACACCAACGACGCAAACACACGCACGAATAAAAATACACCTAGATGGTTTCGGGTTTGAAAATTGTTAGTTTGGATGGAGATTATTTTGAATTTCTTTCATTTTATTTCATTAATTTGGAGTTTTATTAGAGTTTAGCTAACATTTTTGTTTTTTTCAAGAATATTTTTAAAAGAATTAATAAGTTATTTAGATTATTATTATATATTAATTTTCACGCGACAAACACTCAGTAAGTAAAAACGCACCTGCCTTTTTATACACTCTCATAAATCACACAGTTATACAATTTTCCTTTCTCTTTCTCTCTTTCTCTTTCTCTTTTTTTCTCATTTATTTTTTTTTCTTTTCTCTTAAACGCACACACACACACACACATACAACATTTCCAGTCAGAATCTTTCAATTTTAATAACAACTTTAATTACCTAATGTCCTTCCAACATCAAATTGATATATGTAGCATGGATATTTACTGAACTGGCTCCATTAATTCTCACACATACACACGCGCACACACACGTATACACGCACGCACTCACACATATACACGCACACACACATATACACGCACAAACACAAAAATGTTATCATAAATCTATTATATTGTACATATATGTATGTATCACTATTAATATCACCACAATATTTTAAAATATGCATTTACGTACATCCATGTAAAAATATGTACATCCATGTACAATACAATATACATTTACCAGTGAAATACTCACATACGTATACATTACTAATACATGCACAGATGTACAAACATACACGCGCACACATCCCATACACACTTACAAATTGTTATTGATTGTAATTCATTAATTTGAGACATTTGCAGAGGCATACCACTATGGTTTGCTGGAATATTGATGAAACATACACACATACACACACACATACGCACATACATACATACATACATACATATATACATACATACATACATACATACATACATACATACATACATACATACATACATACATACATTAAAGTGTTAACCCTTTTAATCAGATGTTTGACTGTTTGGTGTCATTCATCACGATTTGGTTTTAACATGCATACATACATACATACACATACATACATAATATACATATATACATACATACATACATAACATACAAAACAGGCATAAATAATTATAGACAACAACAATACAGCCATCGACACGCCCGCGAAAAAGCATTTTTGTATCAATCTATACAACCATTTGCTTTTAAAATGATGTATAATAAATCGCGATGGAGTATGGATAGGATTGTTTGTGTGTGTTTGTGTGCGTGTATATGTGTGGATGAGTGTTGTTTGTGTGTGTGCTTGTTTGGCTCCATGTGTGAATTTGTGTGTATGTGCGTGTGCGTGCGTGTGTGTGGGTGTATATGTTTGCGTATGCTTGAGTGTGGGTGTGTGTTTGTAATTATTAAAAAAAAATGGAAAAATCTTAGATAAGAATAAAAGTGCTTCAAACTGTTCAAACACTCCAAGAAGAAATTCTTGCAAGACTGAAGATGGCAGAAAAGCCTCTATGCTAAATTAACAATTCAAGGAATTTTGTTTTCTTTCCACATATTTTTTAATAACAAAATCAAAAAGACGAATGTAGGGCGTTATATAAATGACATTATTGCTATTGGTATTACAATTATTATTGTCATTATTTTATAATTTCAAAGAAATTTAGCCAGCATGTTTTTCTAAGTCATACTCCTTAAATCGTACAGCAAAACTGTACACACACATATACGAACAGAAATGCACGCACGTTTTTACACACACACACACACACACACACACACACACACACACACACACACACACACACACACACACATACACACACACAGACACACATACACACACAAACGCATTCATTATACACGTTACCTGCAAACAACAATTTTGTAATTAAAATAAACAGACCAGCATGACTATTTATAACAATGGAGATTACAATGACAGTCAGAATGGTGGTGATGATGTAGATGAAGATGATGAAGATGATGATGAAGATGATGATGAAGATGATGATGAAGATGATGGCTCTGATAATAATACAAGTTTTAAAAAAACAGTGATGGTGATGACGACGACGACGATGATGTCTATGATGAAGACAACGTTGGCGGTGATGATAACAACAATGACAACAACAATAACAATACTAATAATAATAACAACAACAATAACAACAACAACAATGTCTGACCATTTTTATTGAGAAGCCAACTTATTTGATAACAATATATTTTAAACTGGACATGAACCCTATTTTTGAACAATACATTTTTTCTTTCACCTGGACCAATTTTTGTAAAAAACAAAATACTAAAAACTATACAAAAAATAATGAAAATAAAAGGAAAAAAATTGATAACCAGATCTCTAAAGCGGAGAATCAAAAAAGTTACAATACTAAAATTTCCTAATACCAAAAAAATAAAATCATCACACACAAACACACACACACAAACACACACACACATACACACACGCACAGAACAACAACAACACACAACAACAACATACACACACACACACACACATACAAACACACACAAACACAGCAGCACATTTCAACAATGGACGAAAAAAGACTAAAACATAAAGATGAAAAGATTTCATCCAACCGACACGAACTCGACATAAACAATATTACCGAACGGTTTGTTACCGACTGACCGGCTGTAAAACGTTCCATCGCTATTATTACCTCCATTATCATTAGGCCGGCAGTTGGCGTTTTAATCGCTGCTGTGGCTACTGCTTCTAATTTTAGCCCAATAACGTCAGCAGTTATTATTAGCGTGGCTATAAATAGTGCAATGCTATTGGCGTTTCAATTCAATTATTCTTAATTGATCTTTATTCTTCATGTGTTGATTTAGAGAGTAATTTCTGAACAATTTGTTGGTGTAATGTCCCAAATAAATGTTATTTACTACTACTACTACTACTACCACTACTACTACTACTACTACTATTACCACTACTACTTCTTCTACTACTACCACTACTACTATCACTGCTACTACTACTACCACTACTACCACTACTACTTCTTCTACTACTACCACTACTACTATCACTGCTACTACTACTACCACTACTACTACTACTACTACTTCTACTACTACCACTACTACTATTACTGCTGTCACTACTACCACTACTACTACTACTACTACTACTACTACTACTACTACTACTACTACTACTACTACTACTGCTATTGCTGCTGCTACTACTACTACTACTACTACTACTACTACTACTACTACTACTACTACTACTGCTATTGCTGCTGCTACTACTACTGCTACTACTACTGCTATTACTACTATTACTACTGCGACTACTACTGCTGCTACTTTTACTACTGCAACTATTATTACGACTTAGTTTTTAGTTTAGTTTTTTAAACGGTCATTTCAAAGATGATGTAAAAGAAGAAGAAAAAGAAGAAAAAAATGATGATGATGATAATGTGATGATGATGATGGCTTGAGAATTTCTATGGCACTTCATGCGAGGTTACATCCGGCTGGTGTTTGAGTCACACTGAGTCGAATACAAAAACGTTTGAAAACTCAAGTATTTACTAAATCAAATGAATGCGGCTACTAACGCTACTACAATTGCTACTGCTACTACAATTACTTTTACTATTACTACCTCTACTATTACTACTATTAGCAATACAACTACTGCTGCTGCTACTACAACCGCTACAATTGTTACTATAATTAATACTGGTAGTGCGACTAATTAATACTACGTTACTAATAATAAACTTCCAATAATACAGTAATCATCATCAGCAGCACCATCATCATCACCATCATCATCACCACCACCAACATCATCACTACCACCAACATCATCACCACCCCAACATCATCATCATCATCAACAACATCGTCATCAGGGTCAGCAGCAGCTGCAGCAGCTGCACGAGCGAAGGAAACTTGAAAGTAGCTATAAATAAGAAAGCATGACATGACGACTGTCTTTTTGTTTGTTGTCTTTAATAAATAAATAAATGAACAGATAGATGAAAGGATGAAAAAATGAATGGTTGGATGAGTAAATGAATAAATGAACGAATGAATGAATGACTGTGTGAGTGAGTGAATAAGTGAGTGAGTGAGCGAATGAATGAAAAAATGAATGAATGAATGATTGAATGAATGAAGAAGGGATGAATGGATTGAAAAAAACACATTAAATTGGACTGATGAATAAAATAATTAATTAATTAATGATTGAAGGAGTGACTGAGTGAATGAATGATTGACGACATGAACGAATGAATAAATTACTGAGCGATTGAACGAACAAATCAGTAAATAAATAAACAAATATGCATCTATTTATAGCACTCGGAAATTTTAGTCTGTACATGAAATGAACGTAAACGCATATCTAAGTTTATAACGGAATCATAAACGTTTAGATATTTTTATAACAGGTACTAAACTATTTGCGAGTGTATGTGCGGTTTTATGTTTGTGTGTGTGTTTGTGTGTGTGTGTTTGTGTGTGTGTATGTGTGCGGGCGTGTGTGAATGTGCGCGCGCGTTTAATTATTCATTTTTTTAATATTTGCCAATGATTTATATTTATATATTCATCTATTCTCTATATCGATTCCATTTGATTCTTGATAAATGGACTACATCCTTAGAAGAGTAGGAAATGAATGAATGAATGAATGAATGAATGAATGAATGAATGAATGACTGAATGAATGAATGAATGAATGAATGAATGAATGAATGAATGATTGAATGAATGAATGAATGAATGAATGAATGAATGAATGAATGAATGAATGAATGAATGAATGAATGAATGAATGAATGAATGAATGAATGAATGAATGAATGAATGAATGAATGAATGAATGAATGAAAGAAAAAAAGGAGAAATGACGGCAGGAAGAAATGAAAAATTGAAAAAAGAAAAACGGAAGGAAAAAAAAAGAAAGTAATCCCAACGATCCGTGATGTCCCACAATATCCTGGGATGTCATTTATCTACTGAATGATTTGTGTCTCGAACATTAAATCTTTTTCCAATCTTCTAGTTTTTCTTGAGCTAAATTTGCTTGCTTTTAAATTGAGATGCACACAACACACACGCACACACACACACACACACACACGCACACACACACACAAACACACACGCACGCACGCACGCACACACACTCACACATACCAAAAACACACGTTAAAATATTGACCTAAAATTCTGGTGATATTTAAATTTGTAAGTAAATTGATAAAATGAATCAACCAGATTACCTGGAATTTTTTTGTAAACTTTTCATAAGGCCACCTAGAAATAAAAAATATAAATTTGCTCATTAAAAGTACAATAGATTTCATATTAAATTGAGTAATCTTTAAAATTTGAATACTTTGTAAACACAACGGCATACGTTTTTAAAAAATTCACGCAAAAATCAGATAGATGAACAATTTGTAATAATAACATAAATATATTGATTGTGATAGTATTGACTGAATTTATTCTCTCTTCCTCCTCTCTCTGTCTTTCTCTCTCTGTCTCTGCCTTTCTGTTTCTGCCTTTCTGTCTCTCTCCTTGTCTTTCTCTTATTCTCTTTCTTTCTCTCTCTCTTTTTTAATTTTCTGTTTTGTTTATTGCAGCAATTTTTGCTCGCCTGGCCGTCTTAATGAGAATGTGCAGTTGGATGGTCGTCTATTCGGCCGACAGTTGCCTCAAATTGAAATAAAAATATTCACGTACATACACACGCATGCACACACAAACACACATACACCCATACGCATACATACATACAAACACATCATTTCAATATATTTGAATTAAAGCCGTGTAAGTTCATACACTGAAAGCATTCATGTTTGAGTGTTTATAAATAGGCGAGGCGAAACAAACCATACACATGAACACACATACACACATGCACAATGAAACGCACATATATACTAATAATCACGCGTATACGCACTGCACATACATGCGTGCGTGCGTGAATGAACTAACGTATAAGCCTGATTATGACAGTCAACTACCTAGAATTCAATGTTTCAATGCGTTAGCAGCAACATTCAAATGATGAAGAATGAGTTGAATTTTTTTCCATCAACATGTGTGTGTGTGTGTGTTTGTATGTGTGTGTGTGTTTGTGTGTGTTTGTGTGTGTGTTTGTGTGTTTGTGTGTGTGTTTGTGTGTGTGTATGTGTGTGCGCGCGTTTGTACAAACAATTTGAACGCACATACATGAAGCCATTTAAACACAAGAAACACACGTAAAAATTTATAAAGAAGCACACACACACACACTCGCACACACACACTCGCACACACTCACACACACGCTAGATACATTTTAGTGTACAATTATATCAATAGCAACAACACAACATCATCATCAACAACAACGACAACCTCAACGACAACAACAACAACAATAACAACATCCACAACAAAAAAACAACAACATCTACAACAACAATAATAACAAAAACAACAATATTAACAACAACAACAACAGCCACAAAAATAAGAACATCATCATCAACAACAACAACAACAACCACAAAAATAGCAACAACAAATTGTAGATAAACTCAATTTAACCTTATTAGGACAATTCATCACAGACAGACTGACCTTCAAACATCAACATAAGTTCAACAGTGGCGATGCTACAGCCGTTGTGGCTACTGCTGCTGCTGCTGATGTTGTAGTTGATGATGATTGTGGTATAAGATAGCATGGTGGCATTTGTTGCAACATTTGAAAAGAAATTTTTATTAGGCGCAATCACGAGTGTTTGCCAATGGCAGGTGAAATACGTTTCAGCGCCATCTTCATCCTCTTTGTCATCATCGTCATCGTCGTCGTCTTCATCATCATCATCATCATTCAAGTGATGTTACTAACTTTGCATTCATTTCAATCCAATCCAATCCAATCCATCCAATAATTACACGGCTTCTCTTAACACCCTGATATTACCAAAAAAAAACTCAAGAAAGTCAAAAAGGAATAAATAAATAAATGTATGTTTTTGTATGTATGTATGTATGTATGTATGTATGTATGTATGTATGTATGTATGTATGTATGTATGTATGTATGTATGTATGTATGTATGTATGTATGTATGTTTGTATGTATGTATGTACGTATGTATGTATGTATGTATGTATGTATGTATGTATGTATGTATGTATGTATGTATGTATGTATGTATGTATGTATGTATGTATGTATGTATGTATGTATGTACGTATGTATGTAAACATGTATGTATGTATTTATGTTTGTGTGTGTATGTATGTATGCATGTATTTATGTATGTGTGTATGTATGTATGTATGTATTTAAGTGTGTGTATGTATTCAAGAACTAACACTTAATTAAGCATCTTGGCGTTAATTTTTCAATAAAGTTAGATCATCTGGCTATCGCACTGGCATCTTCATTATTATTATTTAGCTATTAAGACGGGATTATCATCATCGCCGTCATTCTCAACATCATCATCATCATTATCATCATCATCATTTTTATCATCACCACTATCATCGTCGTCGTCATCATCATCGTCGTCTTCATCATCCTCATCATCATCATCCTTATCGTCATCATTATCTTCGTCGTCATCATCATCATTATCATCATCGTCGTCGTCGTCGTCATCATCATCATCGTCCTCAACAACAAAATACTTCCTCAAGAACGACGCGACAGAATGTTTTGTCTAACAGACCCTTAGGAAAGAGTTAGATTAAAGCAGAAAATTTCAAGAAAACATGTTGCCATTTGCCCATCTTTTGGAAACTTTCCTTTAATTATCTTCAAAAATAATTTAAAAAAAATTCTCGTTTATTCGTTAATTAAATTTGAAAATTTAATAAACTATGAAAATAGTTACGTACAAACATTCAGGCACACATACATTCAGACATACATACACACAGACAGACAAAAATACACACATATACGTACATACGTACATAAATATATAAAACTTTAATTTTGTAAACATCAATATGAATTAGTTTTCATTTATTTATTCATTATTATATGCTTCACAATTTATAAATAAATCGAATATTTATTCTTACGAGTCCCAAAAATCATTGGCATGATAGTACACAGATGGTACTTTTGCGAAGAAACTGTAGATCAAGTATATCGATGCATCCATATATACATATATAAACATAAAAACTGATACATACAAACAAACATGCACCTACATACATGTGTTGTATACAAACATACATGCATGCATACAATATATATAAATAAATATATAGATATAGATACACACATTAGACAGCATACAAGTAACCAATAAAAAACAACAACATTACAACACTCAACTACGAATAATCACACCAACACATGAATAAACACGTACATACACACACACACACATTTTCAAACACACACACACATTCACATTCACACACACACACACACGGCATACGCACTTAAAGTCTTTAATGTTTGAACGAAGAGCGCTTTATATGACCGCAAGCAAACGCCAAACTCAACATTTGAAATTCTTTCTGTTACTGAAACTGCTATAAATGTCGTCATCGTCGTCTTCATCATTGTCGTCACCTCTGTGGCCTTCATCGTTTGCACCGTCATCATCTTCATCGTCCTTTTATTCATTATATCTTCTTTTACGATAGTTTAAAAAGACTAAAATTTTATCATCATCTCATTAACCGCATAGCATTTTCTAATAATAATAATAATCATCATCATCAACGCCATCATCACTATCATCACCATCATCATTATCACCATCATCATCAACATCATCACCATCATCAACATCATCACCATCATCAACATCATCACCATCATCAACATCATAGCGGTCTTGGTCATTTACAAATGCATGTTCATATCGGGCGAAGGCGTACATTGGTCACATGTATCTATTACGTCATTGCTAACCGGAAATGTAAAAAAACGGACAAACTGACCATCACATAGAGAAATCAAAACAGACAGACGGACAAACAAGCAGACAAACACACCCATTCTTTAAGATTATGTTTGCTTTGTTTATATACATTTACTTAATGTCAATTCTGCACTTTGTTTGTTTGTTTATATAATTTCATATTTGTTTGCCCAAACATGTGCGCTGTGTTTGTTCATTAATTACTATTTATTATGTTTCCATGTGAGACTCTGTATGTGTGTGTGTGTCTGTATGTGTGTGTGTCTATATGTGTGTGTGTCTGTATGTGTGTGTATTTTTTTGAAGAATGTTTACGAGAATGTTTCATTCACTTTGCCCGTAAGAAGCGTGAACACAAACAAACATACAAATATAGACAGCGTAATCCGACAACGAAATTGAAACATAAAAATGAACTCGCCGTATTTTAAAAGAAAAAAAGGTTACTGCAACCAAAACCTCAATCAAACTCACTTAATAAAAATAAAACTGAAACATGAAATAAAATTTTTTTCTTCTTTTATGGCACGTTTGCGACTGACATTTAGATAGAGTAGAGTAGTTAGAGTAGATAGAAATCCCAATAAACGCGTTTATGGGTAAAAACTTAAATATACAAACACACACACACACACGGACGTACAAACACACACACAAACAAACACACGCAAACACAAACATTCACACACATGCATATCCAAAAACTTAAATACTAAGCATAAAAAAGAACCATAAATAAAATCGAAAGCAAACAAGCGTAGAAATATAGAATGTGCTGGGCAAACATGTGGACAGCGGGATAATATGATGTTGATTGCTTGATGGAGATATAGGAGCAGCCGTTTAAACTGCCCACTACCAATGAAAACAATAATGACGACGACGATGAAGATGATGATGGTGGGGATGACGATGACGATGATGATGAAAGAGTGATGATCATGAAGATGACGATGATGATAATTTACAATTACTTCAAGTGTTTTGCTTTATTTTAAAATTGGAGATTTTAATTCGAAAGAATGTTTAAACGTTTTCGTGAAATCTTTTACAGATTTATATGAAACAATTTTGTGATGAGAAGAACTCGTCATCGGCGACTACATTGTAAACAGCAGCAGTAAACAGCCAACACCAACACCAACACAACCAAAAAACATCACTTGAAACATGGAGTCATCTGGAAACGAACCTGAACTCTTGGAAAAAGCCATATTAAATGACAACGCCACCATTACAAAATCTCTCATCACAACACATCTACAAAAATTTCGTCTTGCTCCAGGCCGAGGAAACCCCAGGAATAGAACTCACCAACGCGGACCGTGTACTCTTTCTGCAGTCTCGTCCCGAAGCGCCGATTGCGTCAACTACTACTACAGCCGACTACGCAGCCACTCGTCGGCTTCAATTGGCCTTGGAGCTGGTGCAAGAAGACCATCATACCTGTACAACGCTCAGACCACTAGCAACAATGCTGGCAGTTTGAAACCTTACGATCTACCGGGTGGAAGAAAGTTATCCCATTCCCATCCTCTGCAATCCTGCATGCCCAACGACCCGGGACCTTCAGCCTACGGACCAACGCTAACGGTGTATGGGGAAAGTGGGATCAGAAGTCTGCCTGACACCCGCAGAGGCAGCGTCAACACGTCGGAAGTCGGCGGAGCGAACAGCCAGAACGGTGGCATCAACGCTAATCTACCTGCAATTTTCAAAAACGCGCTCCACGTTGCCGTTCAAAATGCAGCAAATGAAGCGCTGAATGTGATGTTAGCAGCTGGTCTAGATCCGAACGCTCCTGGATTTTACGATCCGTGTTCTGCAGTAGCTGGAGTGTTCGGAGCGCGAGGTAGCATCGATTCTCCAGACTCGGTATCCCCACTTGCCATGTTGACGGTCGGTGTATGTCCGTCCATTTCCGAAGATGCCGACCAGCAACAACCACAAATGACGTCACGATCTAGAAGAAGCAGCTCCATATTCGCTCGACTCTTAACAACCGACAATCGATCAAGCACGGGGTTGAGTGGATTCGCTTCCAGACGCCAATCTGCAGCATCAACCAATTCTTTCCAGCAAGCGATGTTTGCCAGGCAATTTTCTAATCTCTCTCAAAAAGTTCGCAACGCATCTATTCAAACGAATAACGATTTCTCGATACCGGTTCCAAACCTAGCAAACGCCCAACAGATTCTAGATTATTCGGAAGCTGTCAAATCAACGATGGAAGTAGAAGACGCCATCAACCTGTACACAATTGAACGACTCTACGACCTTCCTCCCCTCTACCTAGCGGTGGCTTTGAAAAACCACACCGCCGTCAAGCTGCTTCTACGACACGGAGCCGATCCCGGGTTCGCCGATCCGCAAACGGGTCTCAATCCCATGCATCTGGCGGTCTCCAACAGATTTGTATGCGACGAATGTGCCACGCTCCTTGCTGACTACGGTGCCAAAGTGATACGAGTCTTTTACAGTTATCAGCGATTTTCAAATAGCACTAACAACAACACCAGCAACAATTTAACAGCAATTAACAACTTCTCCACTCTGACATCAAACGACAGATGCGCAGCGTACGTAAGGAATCAGAGAAAGTTACTTCATACAAAATTGTCCACATTATCGGCCTGCTGCACCTACCTGGAGTCCGTCAAGCAGTTGAAGGGCAACATGGCAGCCGGCGGAAATGCTGGCAATAAAAATAATTTGGTGCTAGCTGGCTCTGACGGCTTCTCTAAAAAAAGTATTTGGACTTGTCGTAATTATTTCTGTTAACCTCCAACTTTACACGTTCAATTATTAGTTTTTTCTTAAATAAAATCGAAAATTTTTGATGGAACAATTTTTAGTTTTAAAATACCAAATAAACAAAATTTGATTTGATATTTTTATTTTTAGACTACAAACTGAAAATAAACAAAAAAAAATCTTAAACAATTACCAAAACATAATAATTATCAAAAATCAACTTTGAAACACAATGCACATCCCACACAACCAATCAGGGTCTGAAACGACAAAACAACTAAGAGAAAGACTATCGAGCGATAAAGAACCATCAGTAGAAAGCGACAGATCCGGATCCGGTACTTCGTACCGAATGAAATTCGGACACCTAAAAATATCCGCATCATCCCTACTGCACAACAACCAGAGCCTGGACGATGATTACGAGGTGGGCAGCGCCGATAAGGTATGTTGTAACCTGCAGTTCTGGTTGTTGAATTGGTTGATGTTATAACTAATAAATAATTTTCAGTGGTGGGTTCAGGTGGAGGGCCAGTGATAAGCAAAAAAATGGTTGTCGGCCACAGTAGCACAAATCTTGCTTGGCCTTTCTTCTAAAATTTAAATATTTTCAAAACTTCGTCCAACCCCCATCAAAATTGTCTAGATCCGCCACTGTTAATTTTGGTTTATTTACTTTTAATTTTATATCGAATTCAATGAATTTTGTTAATAACTTTAAAAATTAAACCATAAATTAATCAAATATTTTATTTTAAACGTTCAATTATATATTTAGTTTTAATAACCTCTTTATGGATTCATTAAAATTCTCCCAAAATTGCTCATTTACAACCTACTTGCCAGGAAAGATTTGATTGTTCAAAAGTTTGGCCAGTATAAAATAAATAAAAATTACATCATAATTAATTATAATTATATATATAAATATATTATTGAAATAGAATTAATATAAACAAATAAGAACTATATATAAAATAAATAGAAAATGATTTTAAGTCTTATATACAGGTGCACACATAGGTATGTATGTATAGCTATAAAAAATTCGTTCTAAATTAATTCTGCCATACTTTCCCATCAGTGTTATTCTCCTCAGTTCGCACCGAAATTAATTTTCTTTTGTCTCATATTAATTATAGTAATTAATAATAACCATTATAATAATATTATTTTCTATATTTATATTATTATTATTATTACTATTAATGTTATATTTTATCATTAACATTTTTCTAAAGCTATTAGGTATATATGATGAAACGTGTATTGAATTCTAGTTACTTGTGTGAGAATGAAAGATGAAGACAAAAAAAAATAGGAGAAAGGAAGTGAGAGAAAGAGGGAGAGAGAGAGAGAGGAATAAAACTAATAAAACCTCTGGTGTATAGAAATGCTTGAAACGTGCTATTTGGGAGGTCTTTCGGAGACATTGGTGGATACATATTTAATGAAGGGTGCTTCGTTCAAACGTCAAACTCGTTGCCGGCCATCACCTTCGTCACGTGATTGCGTCACTACTACGTCATCATTACGTCATTGGGGGTTTTCTTTACGTGGTTGAGTTTTTTCCAAAGTCTGATCCTAGAGCGCGAGTGTATGTTTATTTGAATCGTAATTTACCGTGGAATATAAAATGAATGTGATAAGATGTAGATGATTGGAAAATTTTGAAGAAGCTAGCAACCAAAAATTATTAAAAAGAGGATTTATGAGGAGAGACAGGAAGAGAGAGAAAGAAAGAGAGAGAGAAAAAGAGAAAGAGAGAGAAAGAGAGAGAGGGAGAGAGAAATGGATAAAGAGAGTGATTGACATAGAAAAAGTGTGTTTGAGTTTGAGAAAGAAACAAAGAGAGGAGAGATAGAGAGGTGGCGAGAAAGAGAGAGAGTTAAGAAATAAATGAAGGAATGAAAATGAATGTGTGTGGCAAACCAAACAAATGCTCTTGCAATGAAACTCCTTAATTAAAGCAAAGGTAATTAAAGTGATTGAATGGTAGACTACTTTTCTATAATTGGCTCTCTATGCAGTAGATACAACTGTCTGTAGGTATGTATATGTTTGTACGCGTATGTATGTGTATGTTTGTTTGTACGCGTGCGTGTGTGTGTGTGTATATGCCGTGTGTGTTTGTACGTACGTTTGGTTGTATGCGCATATACGTTGTATGCGCATAGGTGAGCGTTGACAACAAAAAACTTTTTTTCAATTTTTTCCATTTTAGCATAAATCTTCAACACAAAACAACATCTCCGGCAAAAATATGCAAAATGTAACAGCAGGAATCAAGGCTACTCTACCACTAAACAGCTATTTGCAACATCGAAAGATCAACTGACATACTACAAACTACAACAACAACATCAACAACAAATACAACAACAACAACAGTAGCAGCAACAACCAGCACAACAACAATAATAACCAACCAACACTGCAGCAACAGTAGCAACAACAACAGCCAACTAAACAAAAACATAATAAACTCCATCCACCACACCAGCGAAATGAAACAACAACTGACAAAGCAACAATCCCATCAACACCAACTAACCATACTATAAAATCTGCAACTAGTTTAGCCCCCCAAACGCTATGCAAAAGTTACCGTGTAAATTACAACCTCAACAACACCCATAGCCGCAACAAAAACAGTCAGCAACAAAAAAAGTCAACAAAATATAACAATAAAAACAAAAAAACAAACAAAACAAGTTTCATGTGGACAACTTTTTGTTTCTCTGCAGAACCAGTATTTAAAGTAGGAACAATTTTTTTTCTTTTTCTGCCTTTCGTGAAAGTCCAAGAATTGAAGTTTTTACTGGAATCTCCATAACGTACGACAGACTCTCTATGCATAAACTTCATCTGTGGTCGAATGCCTGGCCGGCTCTCTCCCTCTCTCTCTCTCTCTCTCTCCCTCTCTCGCTCTTTCTTTCTCTCTTTCTCTCTCTTCTTTTATTCCCACTCTTGTTGTTTTTCTTTTCTTTCTATATTATAATATTAATGAGAGAGTTAAATTTGTAGATAATTCAGAATTATCACACAACATCTAAAAATGAGAGTGTGAAGCGAGTTAAGATCGCACGCACGCACGCACGCACGCACAGGTATTGCTAGAAACTGTGATGACGAGATCCCTCAATATAAGACATTGTACCGTTGTACAAAATATACACGGTATTAATACCGTTATCTTACCACTAAATACAGCCACAACCGTTGCTAACTTACCCAACCAAATCCGAAAAATACTGCAACTGCTTGCGGAAAAGTTTTTCAGAATTTTTTTTGGTAAAAAAGTGAATGTCCGATGAGACGATAAATCAAAAGTTGTTTAAGAGTTGACGATGACGGCAACAAGGAGGCGATTAATCCTGTTTTTTCTTTCAGAAATACCTCAACTTCAATTACGTCAACGGCATCTACAACAAAAACGGTAGTTGCTGAAATCACCACCGCTACTTCAACTGCTTAAACAGATTCGAACACGAACGTAGCAGCTATTTTAATAGATGACAGTAGCCACAGTAGCTACAGCTACTACAACCACAACAGCAGTAACTTCAGTAGCCACAGAATGCTGCAGCCCATCCAGGCACACACACACACACACGAAACATTTTTATGATGCTAGGGATAACATTTTTCCAGGAACAATCTGCAGAGAGAAAATAAGATGAAAAAAAAACAGAAAGCGATGACTGGCGAGAGGAAGAAGAAGATGAAAAAGAAGAAGAAGCGGTAGTCATGACGTTAACTCAATTATGTCATGGTGCATGGGTAGCAAGAATATATATTCATATCTGTGTAAGTGTGTGTGATTGTATGTGTTGTTCAGTGGTGTGTGTGTGTATCTGCGTGTGGTTTGTATGTTGCAAGTTTAAATAGGTGTGTATATATGCGTGTGTGTGTGTGTGTGTGTGTGTGTGTGGTGTGTGTGTGTTTCTTTAGGATGATGTAAAAGAATGTTTTAGCTTGTGCGCGTGTAGTATATAACACACCCACGTGTGATCTGCACACGTGCAATCATGCGAACTTAATCCTATTATATGAAAATGAAATTTCGTGCGTGAAGCCTACATGTGAGAGTTTCTATTAGTGTGTATGTGTATGCGTGTGTGTGTGTATGTGCGTGTGTGTGTATATGTGCGTGTGTGTGTATATGTGCGTGTGTGTGTGTATATGTGTGTGCGTGTGTATATGTGTGTGCGTGTGTATATGTGTGTGCGTGTGTGTGTGTGTGTGTGTGTG